CGGCGTCGTCGTCGATGCGCTGGTGAGATGCAAATGTGCAGGGAGTCGGTGGCACTGGTCCGACACGTGCACAGGAAGAGAACAGCTTCTGCAGTTGCGCTGCGCTGCGTATTGAGTGTCGCCTTTGGCGTCTCCCGTGCATTCACGCACACACACACACATGCACACACACACACACTGCAGGTGGACGTGGTGCTGTGTGCGGTGGTTCGTCGCGCGGGTAATAAGAGAGTGCCAGTGGTTGGGGTGCGAGCAGCGGTACTGGTGGCGCTAATTGCAGTGCTGGCTTGGAGCTTCCGTGTGTTTAGCTGCATGGCGTATGGAATGCAAGGCCCACTGCGAAGCATGAAGCCTCTCATGTGGATGCAAAGTTGGGAGCTCGATCACTAGCTGAGAAGCGAGAGGGTGATGGTAGCAAAGAGGGTGATGGCAGCAACAGCAACACAGGCCAGCCGTGAGTGCTGAAGCCACTGTTGCTGGTTCGCCGCGAACTGCTGCACCTGAGTGCTGCTGGATTGCTTGCTTGCTTCTTATTTGCTTGCTTACAATTGCTGTGTTGTATTTGACAACATGAACATGTGTACAAATTGATGTGAGCACCAAAGTAAACGGAGCAGAGTTTACGTGCGCGACGCGAAATCGCACCATGCTGGTAACACACTGTGATGAGTTATTGGCGCTTTTTGCCCTTCTGCTTGTTTGGCTTTGCAGCGTTGATGGAGCTCTCATACTCGACGAGCAAGCAGTCATCGACCGCCGTCAGGTCCTGCATACAGTTTGAAACATAAGAAGAGATGAGCAGCGCAAACACGAACAAGGCGCACCTTCGGAGAGGTTGTGCGGCAGAGAGGGAGGCGAGGGAGAGGGAAAGTATAGACGTGGCAGAACGGGAGGCAAGCAACACGCAGGCACATGGACACACACACACTCACTTACACACTGATACACACACACACACACACACACGACACACACACACGACACACGACACACACACACACACACACACAGAGGCAGACACGCAAGTGCTTACGCGGATGAGGAACATCTTGGCGATGGTGGTGTTGGCAATCCACGGCATGACTGTGAGTGACAGCACGCGCTGCACGACGAGGAACCATGCAATGCCAGAGATCACACCGACACCAGCGCCAACCAGCACCTGTCATTGCAACGGCAGCGAGGCATGGTTTGCAGCCTTGAGTACACGTGTCTGCTGCGTTGAAGAGGGGAAGGGAGGGGAGGGGTGCACACACACACACACACACACACACACACACACACACACACACACACACACACACACACACACACACACACACACACACA